GCGGCCTCTTCGCGCCGGACTCCGGGCTAGAGTCTGCCATGATACCGGAGCCGGAAATACCTGCCGCTCCGTCACGCGAGAACTTCCTGCGGGGCCACGCCCCCTTCCGGAGGCGCGGGGTCCGGGCGGGAAAAGAGGGGGCGGGGCGAGCCGTGTGGCCGGGGTATGGGTGGCCTCTGGTGGACTCGCTCGGTGGCGAGAGGGCGGGAGACGTTACACCGGAGTCCCCTTCCAATGCTGGGGTCCAAAAGGCCTCCGTTCCACGCAAGTTGGAAGGCAATTCCACGGTAGAGCCGATTGGCCAAAAGAATTGAGGAAGGTAGCTCGCAGGTGGGAGGAAATAGGGCAATTTTCCCGCCGCTAGAATCAGCTTTTCATAGTGCGAAAAGCTATGAAATATCTCCATACAATTTGGGGGTGGGGAGTGGGGGAAATATAGGAAATAAATAACCGAGGAGAACTTTAAAGTGTTTTTTTTAAATAACCTGTTTGAATTATCCATATCCAAGCTTATTTTGCACAGTCCAGATCATATACAGATAGAGTTTTGTGACATGAATACATCTCAGCCTTACATTTCTATTTGGATAATTATTACAAACCGCTTCTCACAAGAGCCTAGAAGAAAGTAGGCTGTCAGTAGAAGATAAAGCTAGTTGAGAAGATTTCCAGAAGAGGGATGACTACTATTTGGGAGACGAGAAGGATTAGTTACTTGAGGAGAGCAGTACTAGACTTAGCACACGGGTAACCAGTGATCATTGTCTCCATTGCAGGTTCTTCCCATAGTCAAAACTAAGGGGAGCCCTAGCCGGTTTGGCTCAGTGGATAGAGCATCGGCCTGCGGACTGAAGGGTCCCTGGTTCAATTCCCGTCAAGGGCACATGCCTGGGTTGCCTTGATCCCCAGTAGGGGGCCTGCAGGAGGCAGCCAATGCATGAGCCTCGTCATTGATGTTTCTCTTCCTCTTCCTTCCTCTCTGAAATCAATAAAAATATATTTAAAAAGAAAAAAAACCCCGAAGGGAAGCAATGAGATTCTTCTATACCTCGCCCACCAAAGAAATGGGAACAATTCCCAGACTCTTTCTAATCATCAAGAAAAATACACGAGTGAATATGAACAAAACCTCCTTTCCAAATAAATACAAGGATTTCTATCTTTTCTCAAGGCCAGCTGTTTGCAGATATGATGGTTGGTTTATGCTTATTCTTGGCATCTTGTTCTCTCATCTACAGACTTTTTTTTTCTCCCTACACCAAAAGCTATTAGGGCTCAATTGCTTCACTTCGTAATTTCTTGCAGAGAGCTGACTTTTCAGTTACTTATGTTAGTTTCAATAATTGGAGTCATTTAAAATGTCAAACAAGTTGGGCCCTATTGATATGTGTTTTTTTAAAAAAAAACTTTTAATTATTTTATTTTATTTTTCCCCCATCACCTTTTATCCTTCTTGTACTCTTCCACCCCCACCCACACCCCATGAAATATTTTAAAGTATCCTAATACTTAACTTTCATACACTTATCTTTGACCTCTACAACTCATTTTTCTTCATCTTTTGAAGCACTTCAATATTTTCTTCCGAAAAATTTGGAAGACATGGCTGAGTCCTCTATCATTATCAGACTTCATACCACCCTTTGTTACAGAGGAGCTAAGGGTCCCTCTGCTGGTGAGTAGTGAGAACTCTACTAACTCAGTGGGTGGCATGGGTTCAAAGGATGTAAAGGTTAAGAACTCCAGTTTGGATTATTGCCTTGGGTGTCAACCCGGGGCAGAGGTAGTTAACTGTTTCATGCTCTTCTTTCAGTTCCCATCAGTGGAAATTTTGGTTGGTGTAAGTATGTGCTCTGGAACGGAAGAGCCTGGGGAAAGCACCTTGCTGTCATAATTTGCTTTCAAGGATTCATAGAGCCTGGACAGCACTTGCAGCAGCCCTAGATCATTGAAAAGGCTGGTTTTAAAACTTTAATTTTAAAACCGATTTTCCGTTTTGTTTTGTTTTTACTTATTGCAACATAAATATGTATTTATTATAGAACATTTAGAGGGTTTAGGTAAGACAAAAGAAAAAATCCCATCTCATCCTTCCTTTAACCCATTAAACATTTTGGTTTATATCCTTCCTTTCTTTTTCTAATTTATTTGTAGAAATAACTTTTAAGTTACTTTCAGAACAAACTGCTCCATGCCCCATTTTTTTTTACAACTTCATAGAGGTATAATTTACATACAATTAAATTCATCCATTTTATGTGTACGGTTCAATGAGTTTTTGTAAAAATCTGTATTTGTGCAACCACCATCATAATTAAGTTTTAGAACTAACCCATAAAGTTCTCTCATGCTTCTTAGCAATTGTAGCCTGCTTTTAAACTTAATAATAGCGTGTGGATATCATTCTTTTGTTTGAAATATTCTTTTACAACATCATTTTAATTATCCTGGTACTGTTTTATATAGTTGTATCACGATTTATTGGACAGTTAGACTTCTTTAAGTTTCTTGCCTAAAAATTCAACATGATAAACATCCTTATAACAAAATCATTTTGTACATTCATGGTTATTTCTTTAGTAATAATTTATAGAACTGGAAGTACTGAGTCAATGGTTATAATTAGCTCCATTACTAAGCTCTGTGAGGTCAGGGCATTTTATCTGTTTGTTTACTGTTATATATCCAGATCCTAGATCCAGGGTCTAGCATACATAGTATGCAACTCAATAAATAATTGGCGAATGAATGGCTGAGTACCCATTGCTATACTGTATTCCATCAGAGAGATGCTAGTTTATACTGTTACCAACAGTATGTGGCAATTTAATATAAAGAATATATTACTGTACATTTTTTATTTTCCAGGACAGATCTACTTAAAATATTATTTTATTATCCCCTTGGTCCAAGGAAGTATCCCAAGAATTCTAATATTTTGGCATCCAAATTGAATCTCTTAGATTGCCTGTTACACTCGCAGCCATACAAAAATAAACAACTCTTATCAAACTATAAATCTGTTTTTGTTAGAAAACATGGCCATTTATAAAGTTAGTTATTTTCCCCAATATTATGAATAATGGCAAGTATATTTATTTATTTATGGCAAGTATATTTAGATGGTTTTGAATATTCAAGGTAACGCAAAATTACTTCAAGGCTATTTTATTAAACAGTTTTGCTGCCTTCATTCTCTTTATTGCTTTTTCCTGGAATGTTATAATTTTACATTATAAGCCACTGGCACCATCAATATGGAACATGTCCTTTCCTTTTTCTGTTATTTATTTTTTCCTTTTTTTATAATGGAAAAAGTGTAATGGGTTGATATACACTTAAAATGATTAAAATAGTAAGTTTTATATACATTTTCCACAATCAAATAATTACAACCCCTAACTTATAATATAGTTATTATGTGCTGCTTTATTCAGTGTATTAAAGGGCAACAACAAGAAATGTAATGGGTGAGAAGGGCTGTTTTTAAGAGGGCCTGAAGGTATGTGGCTAAAGGAGCCTTAGGAACACCCACATATAGTCAAGACTCCCTGGGGAATGGTGATATTATTCCCTGAAACGGAAAAGTCATTGTCATCCACTGCCCCAGGCCACCCTGGCAAATTTTAAAAAAAACCCAATGCCATTTATAGTCACATAAACTCAGATGTTTATTGCTGAGAGGGCCTTTAGGAGCTCACAAGGGTAAGTAGCTCTGTGTCCAGGTAAGTGCCTGCTTTCAGTTTTTCTCCTGCCCAGGCAGTGTTGAGCCTGAGCCAGATGGGGGCAGCAGAGGGCAGCTGGTTGCTAGGGAAATAACTGAATGACATTTATTTACTAGAAACTATTAGAAAAGGGAAACCATATTATGACTTAAACTTTTTTACTGGTTAGAATTTAAAAGATGTCAACATTTCCAGCTGCTAAGAATGTACTAGACAAAATCAAAGAACCATAATTTTGATATCTATGAAAAAGTAGAGTGAAATGAGCTGCTTAGAAAATGTAGAAATTTCATTGTCGAGACCCTTTGAAACCATCCTGTTTTCTTTTTCTTCCTGTTTCTATGTCACATTCACTGGTATCCGAAGAGGAAGAGACTGAAGAATTGTGGAAGGAATTTCTATTCATGCAGGCGTCAAACAACCTTAAGTCCTTTGGGGAAAGTAATTCTTGGCAAACATTCCAGGACCATGTATAAGTAGAAAAGGTTTCATAAAAGGACTCATTTTTAGTGTCTACTCCAACCAAATCCCCTCGGATCTTATGCCAGAAATTTAGCATTTCTTTCCGGTGCTCAAGAGCAGTTCCTAAATTATAGATTTCTATAGCTCTCTTCACCTGTAATGAGAAAGCAGAAGTTTACAGTTGTTATCTTAAAATATCTTTGATTTGTGGACCACAATTCTAAATATCCCAAGAGTTATGTTGAAAGTCACCGAGTTTATATATTGGAGGTGCCTCTTGAGGAGTCAGGAGTTGATGGACAATGAAAATAAATTACCTTGGAATAATGAGATTATAAGAAATTTTATAAGAATATTAATAATAGACTAAAACAAAGAGGAAATGTGGGAACGCGATAGGCTCTGACTATAAGAGGAGTGCCAAAAATGGCTCTCAGTCCACCCTAGGTTAGGGAGGGAGAAGATGCCGAGCTGCGTAGGTCCTTAAGGATTTTGTAAAATTGAGAGTGGTGACGGGAAGGCGTTCCAGGGAGAGGGATTAGTATAAGCAAAGGCTCAAAGGCAATAATAAATATCTTAATGTTGGTAGGGAAGGGGGGTAGTGCACTTTGCTATTGCTGAAGCACAAGTTTAAAGTGGGAGGGAGTGATGCAGGCAAGGCAGGCAAGGCCTGCTGTACCAGTGATTGGCCCTTAGACTTAGTCTCCCTTAGGCTGGGGAGAACCCTTTCCTCAGTGAGAATCACGCTGTAGTGAGCCACTCTTTCTGATGGCTGTGAGAGAAATTCCTCGATTGTGTGGAGCATGAAATATACTTGAAAACCCTGTCATCCGTGAGAGGGAAGCATTCATTCTTAAGCAGGACAGTGATATAGTTGGATCTCCTGTGTGGAGAATGGGCAGAGGGGAGCAACTAAGAGGTAGGGCTACAAGGTTGGAGATTGTTGTCTAGGCTGGATCTGATGAAGGGTTCGGTTAAGGCAGTAGTGATAGGATGGAGTGAAGAGGACAGATTTGAAACATCTTCAGGGGAATGAAAGTAGCCAGATTTGGTGATTGGTAGGTGTGAGGAATGAGGAAAATGTGTAACTTAAGGATGACTCCTGGCTTTCTAGTTTCAGTGACTGGGAAGATGGTAGATACCAACATCTGAGATATTCACCCAAGGAATAGCCAATTTGATGCAGATAACGAATTTGGTTTTGGACATGTCAGGTTGGATATGCTATAAGACAGTGAAGTAGAAATGTCTAGCAGTCAGAGAGGTAAGACAGAAGTACTGGAAAGAAGTCCAGACTAGTGACAAATTTATAAATTATTAGTGTATAGGTGGCAGTTGAAATACGCAGGGTAGATCAATAGTCCAAACAATACTCATCCCAGCTTTTCCTTCGATTAATGCAGAGATCCCCAATATTGTGCTGTGACTGGGTTACAGGTATGCCAAGTTATTGATCTTCCCAAGCATCTCAGCCCTTGGGGCATCTGGTGTGCCAGCCTGGAGGCCTTGGGCTCAGTGGCCTTCATTGAAGTTACATTTATCACAACAATTACTACCGCTCATTTCCTCCTCCCTGTCTTCCACCCTTACTCTAAGCTCTGTGAGGATAGGAACTGTGTTTTTTCTCTCTGGTATCTCCTAATCCCAGAACTCTGTTAACAATGGATAAATATTTACTGAACAAATGAGTGGATGAGCGTATATAATGAGAAGGGCAGCAGGATGACACTAGAAAACAAGGAAATATTAAGACTTAGGGATGAACATTCAGGAAAGAGGAGAGAAAAGGACACAGCGCTACAAGGAGAATTGAAGATCCAGTATTGTAAAGGCCAAGGAAGTAGAAAGTGTCAAGGAGAGCTTTGTCATTAGTGTCAAATACAGAAGGGAGGCGGAATAAAATAAATACACCTCAGTCTGTCTCTGTGGACTACAAAAGTAACTAAGAAGTCAGGTCACAAAAATAGACAGGTAGCATGGACTTGTGGTTACAAGTGTGGATTCTGGAGCCAAGCTGCCAGTGCTTATAATTCTGGCTCTATTATTGCCTAGCTGTGTGCCGTTGGGCAAGTCACTTAACCTCTCTGTGCATATCTGTAAAATGATAAGTAATGATAACAGTGCCTACCCCAAAGGGTCACTGTGATAAGTAAATGAATTAGTGCATGTGAATTAGAGCACTTGAAGAACACAATGCCTGGCACCTAGGAAGCTCACTTAAACTATTATTACTATTATTATTTTAGCTGTTGTAATAAAGATGCTTCAACTCATCATGATTCCTTGAGTGTACCACTCACTGTGATTGTTGGTTTAGTATCTTAACTAGTAGCTATTTCCAGCATGAAACAAATTAATGTCCCAGAAATGATGCTGGGTATGGCTCCATAGGTGATTAGCAGGATAAATTATAACAGTTAACATTGGAATCCATTTGATTATAGAGCAAGAAATGTCATTATGCCCAGCTGGTGTGGCTCAGTAGTTGAGGGCTGACCATGAACCAGGAGGTTACAGTTTGATTCCTGGTCAGGACACATGCCTGGGCTGCTGGCTCAATCCCCAGTAGGGGTGTGCAGGAGGAAGTCAATGATTTTCATCGATGTTTCTCTATATCCCTCTCCTTTCCTCTCTGTGAAATCAATTTTAAAAGTTTTAAAAAAGTCATTACAACAGGTAAAAATTAGAAATGATCTATGTCTTATTTTAAAGACAGAGGAAAAAATACCCTCATGGTTTTATGGTTGTAGGATCGAAGTCGAAAATACGTTTGTCAATGCTTTCTGGAAAGGCATTCAACTCCAAGTACTCACATGCGGTTTAAGAACAGCTGCCTCAGCCACTGTCCATTTCTGCTTTTTCTTCAACATTTGGTCAATGGTGAGGATCTCAGTTGGGTAGCCGGAGGGAGAGTCGATAAGCTTTATATTTGCTGCCTTGATGCGCATTTTAAAAGAAGGTTAGTGATGTATTTTAGTTTGAATTATACAACAAAGACATAATAAACAGAAGTATGTTGTATTATGAAAGGGTTTGTTATAATTTACAAGGTTGTTGCTAAAGCACTTCTCGGGTGTTTTGGGGTACCAGGTATTGTCCCATATGTAGATGGGCATTTAGCAAATTCTCTTTTATAATGATAAAGCCTTCTCATAAGGGAAGTATTGACTTTGAGATGATTTATGTATGGAATGGATATAGAGGGTAGAGAGGAGCCAACTCCATCCTTACTCAAAAACTTTCCAAGCCATCACACAGCACTGAAATGAATATGCTCTCCACCGAGTACAATGTACATTACTCTCAGACTTCTCATGGGAACAAGCCTTCCATGTTCCTTGTTCCTGGGCAGCTGAACAATATAGTAGAAATCTTGTGAATATGCTGATTGCTTTTGTGAAAATGTGTATTGCCTAATTTCTTCCAAACCTTCAGTGCTGTTTGATATTACTTTTCTTCATTCACTGTTAACAGTCTTCATAGTAACCACTAGAAAACTAGACCTTCATACTCCCTCAGATTGTCTCTTCAAGGCTATCTAATATGAATCCTTTTTACTCTTCTTTCCACCTTAGGATTTCTCCATCCTTGAACCTGGTTTTTCCTCCTTCCCTCTTATATGTGAGTTTTTCCTAATTTCCAAGGCCAAAATCTCCCCCTGTATCTTTATTTGTTCTCTGGACCGTATCCCTTCAATTATCCTCTTTCCAGGGCCAACTTCATGGGTGTGTGACCTATGCAATTACATAGGACCTCAAACTTAGAAGGGCCCTGAATTCAGCTTAATGTTCCACGGTTGCCATCTTTATGTTCTTAATAATTTTGGACAAGGTGCCTACATTTTTATTGTACACTAGGCCTTACAAGTTATATAGACAGCTCTGTCTCTGCCCCTCATTTATCCAGTTTCCCTTTTCATTGAGCAATGGTTTTCAATGTTGGCTGCATGTTGGAACTTTAAAAAATACTGATAAACCATATTGTCAATGATATTTGTCTGTGGGTGTGACTTCATTTGGAGAGCTAAAGACAAAGTCTTGACTTTAGGTCATTTGTGATCATCATGAGACATTTAAAATTTTTTATTTTTATTTTACTGTGGTAAGAACTCTTAACAAGAGCTCTATCCTCAACACTATTTTTAGTGTACGATACAGCATTGACTACATACACAGTGTTGTAGAGCAGATCTCTAGAATTTATTCATATTGCATAATTTTGACTTCATCCCTATTTGATGAGCAATTCCCTATTTTTTTTCTCCCTCCTCCTCCTTCTGGGACTCTTAAACCTATGCCTACAGGGACCTTTTAGGCATGTGATAATGATGTGAACCACACATGGATCTCTGAAACCCAGAGATGCTCCACAGGCTGGGCTAGTCTCTAGTCAAAGCTTGATCTTGTTTCTAAGGCTGGAAGGCCTGTGACAAACCAGGGGAAGGACAGAGCTTGAAAGAATATCCAGAAACTAGGGCATACTTGCCTGAGACCTTAAAACTCACGATGATAAAGTGTACCTTGACAGGAGGGCAAATAGATTAGAGGCAACAGATCTTGAAGTAGATCCAGAAGGTTCAGCTGGGAGTATAAATGAGGTTCCAGTCCCAGGGCAGAACAGCCCCTCCACCACAACACTGTTCTTTTGGGTTGTGTCTGGCCCACCACCATCTAGAGCCCATTGAGGGAGACCAAACTGCAGCTTCTGATCCCCGAGTTGATGGAAGAACAGTTGGAGGTAGGACCTGAGGGCCTTTTTATTATTATTCTTGTATTCCCCACCCCCCAACCCTGAAACCTAGGATTGTATTTTTCAGTAAGTTTAACTATTTGTTGAAATTAAATATTTATACCTGAGCTTAAATTTAGGACTATGTCTATGGAATCTGGTTTGAAATAAAATGACTAAAAATATCTGTCATTAAAAAGCATGTTACTAGTTCTGTTAAGTTAGAACTTAAAAACGCAAGTAGTTAGCCCGGCTGGCATGGCTCAGTGGTTGTACATCGACCTATGAACCAGGGAGGTCACGGTTTGATTTTGGTCAGGGCACATCCCCGGGTGAGCTGGATCCCCAGTGTGGGGTGTGCAGGAGGCAGCCAATCAATAATTCTCTCTTATCATTGATGTTTCTATCTCTCTCCCCGTCTCCCGTCCTCTCTGAAATCAATAAAAGACAACACAAGTATTTAAATTAACTGATGTGACAAAATCTAAATCTCACCTGTGTTTTCCAATCTCTTTTATGGAAAAAGTAGTTATCAAAGAAACTTAGAGGCTCCTTTCTCCTAAGCATTTCTAATTTATGCATGTCTTTGAATGGCTTTCCCACTACCAGCCCATCCACATTAGGAAACAACGGAAAGACGGGTATTTTTGAATATGGGTTATCTGAAGGAGGATTGCATCCTAAAAAGATAAAAAATATTATCACACACACAAAAAATGTTATCACAAATAATAAGAAATTCACATGAAAGACATACATGTGGCATCTCTTTTGCTTTGTCTACACGTCTCTGTGCCATGACCCATTTTCTTTGCTCTCCTGTGACCTCCACCCCTCCACTTCCTGAAGGCTCTCAGCTTCATCCAGGTATCTGAGCACGCAGGTAAATATACATTTTTGCTTTCAAATGATATCTGGGTAGATAGGCTGTGGTCCTGCTCTTACAGCACTTGGCCTCTTGTATTTATTTCTGACCAATATATAAATAAATCCTTTACAATAGAGGGAAAAAAATAAATGGCTCTTACTCCTGAGCTCCTCAAGATATTTGAATAAATCCTTTTCTTTCATTATTGCAATCCGAGTAGCATTAGCAAAGGCAGTTGTGCTTGAGGTCAGAGGTGTGCATATGTCTGCCTTAAATCTCCTTTTTCTATAATCTGTAGGGGAGGGATTCCACAATATTCCTGCAGTGGTTTCTTGGAATTTTCTTTGAAAATAGCTAAAATAAATAAAGAAAGGAAGAAAGTAATCCAGAAATAAATTTAAAAAATGCTACAGTTCTATTGAAAAAGTGCCTGTTAGACAAATGGGAGGTGGGGGAGGAGGAGAGTCAAATTGCAAGTTATATATGCTGAATAAATTTATTTTAAATTTAATTTGTATAGTCATTCACTATTACTTACTGAATGCTTGTTTCTGTGACATTTATAGAATATCTACTGATAACTGCCACAGGCCATCTGACTACTTTATTTATTTACTAGAGGTCCAGTGCATGAATTCGTGCATGGGTGGGATCCGGCCAGCCCGGTTCCAATTGGGGCAGATTGGGGCTGGGCCTGTTGGGAGGAAGAGATGGTGGGAGGTTGGCTGGCTGGCCGGCCCTGATCAGGCCCATCATGGCCAGGCTGGTTGGGGGGAGGGGTCGCAGGCGATTGGCTGGCAGGTCCCACCCCTGATTGGTGTGGGAGGCAATCGGGGGCGGAGCTGGCTGGGGGCAGGGGCTGCAGGCCGATTAGTGTGGTGGAGGCCCACTGAGGGAAGGGCCGGGTGGGGGGAGGGTCCACAGGAGGTTGGCTGGCGGGCTCCCGCCCCTACTGGGATAGGGGGGTGATCAGGGGTTGGGCCAGCTGGGGGGAGGGGCTGTGGGCTGATTGGGGTGGTGGGGGCCAATCGAGGGTGGGGTGGTTGGTGGGAGGAATCACAGGAGGTTGGCTGGCTGGCCCCACCTCCAGGTTGGGCCAGTTCACTGGGCGCAATGGGTGTCATAATGACAGGTCATTTCAGTCATTACAGTGTTCCAGTCACTGGCTATATTATATATATATATATACTAGAGGCCCGGTGCACAAAAATTTGTGCACTCAGGAGGGTCCCTCAGCCCGGCCTGTGCCCTCTCGCAGTCTGGGACCCCACGGGGGATGACCACCTGCTGGCTTAGGCCCACTCCCGGACCTAAGCTGCAATGCAAGAGGGCACAGGCTGGGCTGAGTGAACCCACGCCAAGTGCACAAATTTTGTGCACCAGGCCTCTAGTAAATTAATAAACAAATAAAGCTTCCCTTTACTGAATATGATAGTACATGTAGCCTTTACCATTCACTTCGAATATACATTCATGCTGCTTTCAATTGTAGTTATGTATTGAATTAACATCTTGGCATCTAATTTTCTCAAAACACTAGTTTCCTTTTGTTAGTATAACTTTGTATCCTACTTTTTGTCCTTGAAAATGCCTTTTACATAAAGACAGTATCT